ATTTACCGCCATTCCTGCAAAAGGTCCGGGAAAAACCCTCCTGTCGACCAATTCTTGAGGGGAGGAAAACCGCCAAAATGGACTGCGGCGCGATATAACTTTATCCAACAGACCAGAACTTTCAACCACTTCGTAGATCCTGCCTCCTGGTCTCATTCGAACTGTCCGATCCGTGTGCCGATTCGCGCATCCGATTATCCGCAGAGCTTCAAGTAGACACACATTAATTATCCATCATGGGACTCCTTACACTCCTCAGAAAGCTCAAGAAAGTAAGTTCGATGCGATTCGCGCGTTTAGTCTAGTAGCAAAGTCTGCCGCTGCAAAGGGGTTCACCTCGACCAAAATTCTATGAGCGGGAGAGATGAGCTCTATTTCCTGCCTTGAATATGTGGACCCCCGCAATTACTTCGACCGGGATGCCCGCAAACGGCAGTCCATTGCCCCTCCATTGCCCCTCCTCCCCTCAGAGCTTCTCGCCCTCCGCTAATTCTTACCTTCTTCTTTCTCATGCAACTTCTTCTTTAACTTCCTCTCTGCTTTCTCCTATTCCTACTCCTTTCCTGTACCTTCTTATTTACCTCATCTGCGCCTTATTTACGCCATATTCACCTTAGTCCGACCAGGAGGCGCGCCTTCTGGTGCTGGGTCTGGATAACTCCGGAAAGACCACCATCCTGAAGAAGCTGTCGGACGAAGACATCAGCCAGATCATGCCCACGCAGGGCTTCAACATCAAATCCCTCATGCACGATGGGTTCAAGCTGAACGTGTGGGACATCGGGGGGCAGAAGTCCATCCGCCCCTACTGGCGCAACTACTACGACCAGACCGACGCGCTGATCTACGTAATCGACTCTGCCGACAGACGGCGGATGGAGGAGACGGGCGTGGAGCTGCAGCAGCTGCTGGACGAGGAGAAGCTCGCCAACGTGCCCCTGCTGGTGATGGCTAACAAGCAGGACCTGATCAACGCACTGAGCGCGGACGAGATCACGGCCGAGCTGGGCCTGAACGAGCTGCGTGAGCGCACTTGGCAGATCCTGCCCTGCAGCGCGCGCACGGGCGAGGGACTGCAGGTACGCACTTTGCACTATATACACGCACTTTGCACTATATACACGCCTTTTGCACTATGTACGATGCACGAGGCACAAACAAAGTTCCCACCAATGGGACCACACACCAATGCTAACCACATTTACCACACTCCACACCTACACCACACCCACACACTCCACACCCCCCCACACACAGGAGGGCATGGAGTGGCTGGTGGAGCAGATCAACTCGGGGAAGGATGAGGGGGCGGCTGTGAGCGGGGGCGAGTCCAAGAACTAAAGTGATTCTACGGTAGTGCTACGGCTAGTTCTACGGTAGTGCTCTACCGCTGTATGTTAGTGCTGCAGCGCTAAAGACAGAAAGACTCTAGACAGCTAAATCGCCTTCCCACCCCCATCCCCAACCCGCCCCGCAACCCCATGCTCCTGCCACGAAAGCTCTGGTTTTTGCAGCGCTGCCATAGAGTGGCGAGGAAGAGGTTGAGCTTGACTTCAATCCCATCATTTCCACCTACACCTTTAATGTGCGTCCTTTGGAGGGTCAGTTAAAAAATTTAGACACAAATTAAATCCCGATCTTGGCTTCTACCTCCTACTCCTGACTCCTGACGTCCTAGCGCCCGTGCCTGTACTGTCTCCTTGCCCCGTTTGGCCTCTATAACCAGTCAGCTAGCTACTAGTTACGGTTGCTTTTGTAGCACTCCCCCCACGCACACACCGTCGAGCTGCGCAGAAGGGCGGAAAACAGCTCCGCGTCGTAAAGACCCACCGGCTGCTGCCTGGGGGGTGCATTACTTCCCTGGTTTTTTATCCTTTTTGCCTCGGCGTCGGTTATCATCTCGGCGGCGGTTTTGCGGCGGTGTAGCTTGACCGGATACTTTACACCCGTTTCGGTTACTTGTTTTACGGGGGGCACCTGGTCGGTGCGCAGCAGCTGCAGCAGCATCCCCTCCACCGCGCCTGAGAATGGGGGAAAGGTAAAAGGGGATTAGGGGAACGGGAAAAGGGGAATAGAGGAGTAGGTGGGGAGCAGGGGAACGGGAGGAGGGGAAGGCGGGAATGAGGGAAGGCAGGAATGTGAGAATATGGGTAGAAGAATATGGGTATATGAGGACGAATTGATTATGTGGATGATAAGGAAAGGCAAGCAACAGCAGCACCGATGCCCCCATCACCTGTGTCCACCACCCACGCCTGCCCCTCGCCCACCGCCGCCTCCGCCGCACCATCTCCCTCTTCCACCCCCGCCTCCATCCCCATCCCCCTACCCGCACCCATACTCGCACCAGTACCCGCGGCTGGGTAGAAAAGCCTGGCCATTTGGAAGAAAACGTCAGACCGCTCCTGTGCATCGGGGCGCAGGGTTAGAGACAGCACTGTCAGCAGCAGAGGCAGCTCCAGTGGAACCTCCGACCACGCCCCCACCTCTGTCCCCGCTGTCCCCGCTGCTGCAGCTTTTCCTGCCCCTGCCGCTGCCCATGCCTCTGCCCCGGCACTGCCACTGCTACTCCCAGTAACCTCCCCACCCCCACTCATGCTCTGTACTATTCCCATAGCCAATCGGTCCAGCAGATGTGCAGACTGCAGCTGCAGCCGCACCCCCCCACCGCCAACACTGCCGCTGCCACCGCCGCTGCTGGCTCCACTCCCCCGTCCCTGCATTTCTTGGTCCTCTCTCTCCCCTTCCCCCCCCTTCCCCGTAAGTCGAACTTCCTTCAGGAACACCACAAACTGACCGTAGGACGCCTTGTCCCCTGGGAACTGCGCTCTCGCCCTGCTCGCAATCTCGAAAAACTGCTGGGGCTGCAGCTGGTTTAACAGCCGCAATTGCTGTATTTCGTAGGGGTCCAAAAACACCCCATTTTCGACATCGCTCTCGATCTTTGAACGATCTTTCCCGGTCGCGTAGTAGGACCAGAGGAGGGCGATGATGGCGGCAAAAGCGGCTATGGCAATTTTACCCCCGTGCCCTTCCAAGATGCTGGGTTTTTGCTCGGGGTCTTGGGGACCTGGGGTGGGTGGGATTTGATTAGTGGGGTTCGCATAGAAGGAGGGGATTAAATACATAGATGGAGCAGCAAAAGGAGGGAGAAAACAGGGGTAGGGGGGTAGGGGGTGAGACAGGTAGAGAGGGAGGAAAGAGGAGGAGGGAGAAGCAGGGTAGAAAGAGGGAGAAGAAGGGGGTAGAAGCAGGGACAGCAGGGGGGTGGGGGCATCAGCTGGGTCAGCGGCAGTCTCACCCTGCTGTCTGCTGCGCCTCTCCAGTTCCTTCAGCTCCATGCGAGACTGTTGGGGGAACATGGGACTACCTGCGGGGAGAGGCGATGGGGATGGTGGTGGGGGTAAGTGGGGTTAGTGGCGTAATGGGGGAAGTGGGGGAGTGGACAGCTGCGTAAGTACGAGCGGGGTGGGAGAGGGGGTAAATGTGTGCATGTGTGTGTGTGTGTGTGTGTGTGTGTGTGTGTGTGTGTGTGTGTGTGTGTGTGTGTGCATGTGTGTGTATGTGTGTTGATGTGTGCTGCCTCACCAAGCGAGCTCATGCGTCTCGTCTGCCCCATCTGCCCCCTCTCCACTGAAGAACCCTGCTGGCTAGGGCGCAGGCGCAGAACGGACAGAGGGGAACTTGTAGATAGAGAGGCCAGCGGAGAGCGCAGCGCACCCAACGCCCGCACGTAGACAGAGGCAGAGGCAGAGACAGAGGCTGCGGAGAGCCGAGGCCCTGTGCGCGAGACTGACCGCCACATAATAAGAGAGAGAGTCTCCTGTAGGTGGGGGTGTAGGTGGGGCAAGGGATCCACCCACGTACCTGCTGCTCCGTTGGGGGAATAGTGAGATAGAAAGTAGACAACAACCACGATCGATCATCATTCCTCTCCACTGACTCTTGCTCTGGAGGAAAGATGGAAAAGAGGCAGCATTCAACTGTTCAACCAAATTATTTGGATTTATATCTAGCTGTATTTCACCTCAATCATGAAGTGCCTTGATAGCTCAGTTGGGAGAGCGTAACACTGAAGATGTTAAGGTCGCTGGTTCGAGCCCGGCTCAAGGCATCATTCCTTTTTCATCTTTTTGACCCTTTTTTGAATCAAAAGGGGCGGATTTTTTGTTCAGGTGGAACAAAGTGCCAACTTTTTCGGTTGGAGATGCTCTTGACATCCATTACAATAACAGTTGCACTATAAAGATGTGCAATAAATATATCACTTGCTGAAGTAAAATGATCAAAGTGTATACAAAAATCTATTCTAGATGAGTTATTGAGAGATTACTACTGACAAATTACCATGAATTGGCGCCACCTTACCAAAAAACAAATATCAATGCGCCAATTCATGGTAGAGTAATTGTTATATTGCACATCTTTACAGTGCAACTGTAATTGTAATTGTTATCAAGCGCGTCTCAAACAGAATAAAGTTGGCGCTTTGTTCCACTTTTGACGACGTTATCTGCCAACTGGCAGGGTGTTTTTCACACAGGCCCTATTTTATGCTAGGGATCACCGATTCGCTTGTGTGTACTGTAACGACGCCAAAATGGAAGCACAAACGATCGTCTAATTTTGGGGAAAAAAACGTGCAGTAGAATAGCGAATCCGGGCACTTAAATGCCAGCTTGCAGTGCAGACTTTCAGCATCTTGCAGAGTTAAGTGGAGGTTCCGCTTCCTCTGCCGGTAGATGATTGGGATAGGTTTAGTGTTGTGTAACTACAGGTACGGAAGAATCAAACACAGAGCCGGGTTGTTTAGATTTCCTCGTCTTCAATAGTTACATTGGTTGCAGAGGATATTCCCTATAAGAATAGGGAATCATGCAAGGGAATCAAAATTGGCAGCAGGGCCTCTGTATCTTTGTACTTTGCGTTTGTAGTGTTTACCCTAGGAAGACGTCCGCGCCCACCTTGTGCAGGTTGTTGAAGGTCGCAGCCATGGAGGAGATGTAGTCGCGCTGGTCGTACTTGAGCCCGTGCTTCTCCAAAAGCGCCTTGATCCTAGGCGAGATTATGGGGTGTCTGAACTGCGGCATCGAGGGGAACATGTGGTGCTCGATTTGGAAGTTCAGGTAGCTCATCCACCAAGAAACTATCTTGAAAGGACCCGGAGAAACGTTCATAGTGTAGATGGCAGCGTAGCGGACCCAGTCGACCTGCGTGTCTTCCTTCGGCACGACGTCCAGGTGCGTGTGGGAGACGGCGAAGTTCAGGAATATGTAGTTAGAAGCTAGCCAGTTGTAGGCCAGGAACATCAGAGCTGACTGAGCCAGGCCAAACTGTGCAGTCACCAGAGAGGTCCAGATAACATGTCTGGCGGCAATGGCTCCCATCTCGTAGAAGTTTTTGACGCGGATTATGTGCCTGATGTGGAGATAGTACTGCCACCCGAGGGTCACGAGCAGCGTAGTGACCATCGGAAACATCACTGCCTGCATGCGGATCCACCACCTCAACGGCAGCCCTACACGCTTAGCTACCTTTTCGGTGAAGGCTACCAAGGGGAGGGTGTTCAGGTCCACGTCGTGTCCAATCTTCTGCGGCATCGCGTGGTGCTTGTTGTGCTGCGAGCGCCACCAAGAGCCGCTCATGCCGCAGCCAACGCCGTAGAAGAGAATCTGCAGCCCACGGTCTAGGGTGATATTGCCCGTCAGAGAGTAGTGCCCCCCCTCGTGCATCAGCCAGCCACAGCGGCCCTGCGCCACAGCGGCCAGGAGCAGACCCAGCAGTATCTGGCCGTTGCGCATCAGGTAGAAGCCTGCCGAGTAGATCGCCAAAATCTCCAAGCAGCGGTATGCCACGTGGAGCGGGGCGGGCTCGAAAAATCCTTCCTTCTCGAGGTCACGCGTGAGCTGGTCGAAGTCGGCCAGCAGGTCGAGCTGGCCTGGGAGCGCCTGCTGCTTGATCTCCTTCTCATCCGCGACCCTTGAGCTCAGGTGCTCCAGGATCTTCTTCGCCTTGCGGGAGCGGATGTGGAAGTTGTTGAAGGCCTGCGAGGCGTCGATATCCTTGCCAGCGTAGAAGTTTATCACAGAACCTCCGGGGTGCTTCATGTTGGTGACATCGTAGAAGCGTCCCTCGATCAGCACCTCCTTCTTCTCTGCCACGACAGACTTCTCACCGCCCTTTCCCATGATTGCCCTTGATTGGTAGAACAGGAATAGAAGTGAGTGGAGGTCCAGCTGACAGTGATGATCCACGTATTCCAGATTCACGAAGGAAGATGGCCGACGACCAGGGTGGGTTTGCTTGTCCATCATCATCTTGTTCTGCACGATGACGAGGCGTTTTGCCGGTTCCCCAAACAAATAGGGGAATTTTCACTCTCTTGAGGGAGGTTTTTGGAGGAGCGGGGAGACGGAGAGGGGGAGCCTCCTCCCCCTTCCTGGCGCTCCTCCAAAACCTCCCTCTGCATTTCACCACAAAGGAACCCCATAACCGGATTATGATAAACTGTGGGCCATTCTCCACAGATCGAAGTTTTTGAGGGTCTCGATCCTTTCCATACTGCCACCATGAGGCATAGCTATAGCATAGGTATAGGCATAGGTATAGGTATTTAGTTTTAATTATGGTTATATGTATACTTGTAGGTATGGTTTTATAGATAAAAATAGAGGGTTTCACACATTATGGTTGCTCGTTTCATCTCCAGGTAAATTACTACTGTATATGATAACTGTTCTAGACCGTGTTTTTCATTACTAAATCAAGTAGTGTAAAGTACTGCAGTAATAGGGTCAAGACTGTTGTACTGCAGTAATAGGGGTGATAGAAGTGGGAGGTGTGCAAAAAGTAGCACAGCATCGAAAAAATGCAGTTCCTGTACCATCAATATCTGCGCCACTTACGTAGAGAAAGCCCTATTCGTAGCGCCAGAACACGCACAGCGAGTAAAATCTCAAGAACTTGGGAACGGGTCCCCTAATGAACATACAAGTACTAAAAATATAATTCCATAGACTCCAATCACCGGAGGTCACCATAGTCCTGCCGAATCATTCGAAATAAATAGCAAGCATTCGTAGGCCGGCTTTTTCGCTGGCAATTTGAAGTTTTGTACAGTATGACAAATACTAAATACGATAAGGAAATACGATTCTTGCTCTTCAAGCTCAAAATAACACCCATATGTGACTTCGACGACCCCCGATACCCATTACCCCTGTATGCGGGGATGGCCCGCCTCGTACTCATAATCTCAAGAAAAGAGGCCAGGATGTCAGGATGTCAGGAAGTCAGGAAGTCAGGATGAAGGATGTCAGGACTTCGTGGCGCCACCCGCAGCGTTGCCTCGGAGCCGCTCCATAATTGATGGTTTTCGAAACAGGCTGGAGGCTGCGCTGTGGCCATTGTTATCTGTGTGTGTGCTGCTCGAGCCTGTGTCTGTGTCTGGGGTGCTGGCTAGGTGGGGGTCCAGCGGCTGCTCCGCCAATGGTGCGAAGGTCTCAGCAGGCGAAGACAGGGCCTCCGCGCCCCCACCCACCCCACCCACCCCACCCCCACCCACACCATCCTCGTCCAGGTTGACCAGCACGCAGTCAGTGTCCCCCTTAATCGTGCGGTAGGTGGGCTCGGCACTGCCCGACACGGAGCGGTCCTTCCCCTCCTTACCCTCCTTTGAAGACCCAAATCCCCCAAAGATACGCGAACTGAGGGTCTTCTTCGCCACTGGAGAGTGGCCCTCCGTGCTGGTGTGCGGGATCGTAAAAGCCCCCCCCCCTAGCCCGGCCCCTGCAAACGCCTCCAGCTTGCCGATCAAAGGACCGCGACTGTGAGTCGTTGAGTCGGGGACGACTGACCGCCTGTGCGCATACGCCACATTGTAGTGGTCTGTGCGGAGGGCGTAGAGCAGCGCCTCCTCCACCACTTCAGAAACCACGCTGGCGACGAAGAGGCTGTGCGCTAGGTGCAGCTGCAGCTTAGCCCGAATCTGGGACTTCAGGTGGGCGGCGGCGAGGATGGACAGAGTGCACTTGAGGGCGCCGGGACATCCGACCTCAGAGGCAGAGACGCGCGTGACAGAGGAGGAATCCAAACCCTCAGCTGCGGGCGCAGCACCCACACCTGCTTTACCCCCTCTACTTTCATCCCCATCTGCGGGCACTGCCCCTGCGCCCACTGTCCCGCTACAACCCTCTGCTAGACCCACCCACACCCCCAGCGCGCGCGCAGTCAGCTGCACTGTGCGCGCCCAAATCTGCACCCTGGTCGCCGCTGCTCGCTCCCTCTCCATTGTGGGTGTGTGGGCCGCATCGAACTGACTACCTATCGTGAAGGCGTTCACTGACGGGAAAACGCTGCGGATCAGGCGGCTCTCCCGGTTTGCAGGGATGAGATGACTACTGATGCGGGGTCTGGTCCACATGGAGCTGTGGGGGCAGTAGTTGGCATAGTCGGCGCTCTTAATTATCTCCAATTGCTGCTGCAGCTTAGCGGGCATACTGTGCAGATGTAGGTCCAGGTAGCCCAGACAGCGACTATGTAAATCGTGCTGCATAGCGGAAGCCTCCAGCAAAGATAGGGCGGGGGGGCTGTGGTTGTTGACACTGAAACTACCCAGACCATCTCTCCACAGGGCAAGATCGTGTAGGGCGTAGCTGGGTCGCAAGTAGTGCAGCTGTGGCGGGTTGGGATGAGCGGGGGGAGATATGAGATACAGATGATACAGAAGAGATATTCAAAAGCGAGGGGGGGGGGATGTGGAAGCGGGGGAGGTGATCAAGTGTGGAGGTTCAGAGTTGTACAGAATGAGGCACTTACCAGCCTCTGCTCCGGCGTAGGCGGGGTGTAGTACTGATTTGTCAACAGCGGGCCCATGCTCGAGTTGCGAAGCAGATTAACATAGCACGAGAGGGTGGAGAAATCGAAGTCGTCTGCTGCCATTTCTTCGTACGATCCAACGTTCCTCATCATCTGGTGTCTCTCTCTCTGGTTGTTCCCGCGAAAATCTACGAAAAGACCGGAGTACAGTGCCTGCACCAGGAAGACCGCGAAGTGCGGGGAGAACTCGAACTGCGTGGGGTACTGCCGCACTACCTATGGGAGGGGAGATATATG